AAATTATTTATATTTTAGAAATGGTTGAGTTTTCGACCTGTTTCGATATGTTTATTAAGGCTTTTTCTACTCAGTATGGTGTATACTATCTACCATATAAATGCTGAACGGTTCTTTATGAAAACCCTATACATATAGACGAGCGCGATACCATAGAACCACTCGAAATCTAATACACTACAATAAGCTCAACAAGTTTAAGAACATATAACTAATTACGTTGAAAATAATATAATTAAAAATTAATATTCAAATAATATTCAGAAATATATGTTAAATTAATTTCAGTTTAATTTTTGCGAAATACATACTTATAAAGCAGAAAATAATTCCGTGATAGAGTGATACAGTTAAAATATATAATATATACGTAAACATAATTTCTTTTCATATTTAAATTTTAAATATATAAGAGACTTCAATTTTTTTTTTAAATCTTAATTTAATTGAGCAAAATTGCAAAGAAAATTGCCTGATGTGAACACATTATACACGTATACGAACAAGAATGTATCTACACAAACACATCGGGATTTGACTCTTTCACATTCTCATGTATCATGGTAAATATTCCAAAACGACTGGCGCTGATTGCGAAATCTACGGTGCTTCGATTGAAATTGAGTGATGCACCGGTAAATGCACGCGGGAATATGACACGATGATTGCCATGTGGGAAATGTGAAGAAACAGTTACGAATAATGGCATCAAAAAGCGCGATGGGAAAATCGTTTTGTACGAGAAAATCCCGTAAATTCTCAAAACATCATCAAATATTTGCGTTTTAAACGCGTCTATAAAAAATTAAGTATCCACTTTAATACATCGCGTTTGTCATAAAATATTTGTCAATACCTACGACAAAATATCTAAATAAAATCAGCATGATAAATTATAGAATCATCTTTCTATTTACATTCCTCTTACAATTAATTCTTAAAAAATTTTTTTCTCTATTATAAGTATTATATCATCGTTAGTGCCACAATTATTATATGATTTCTACAAATCAGCTAATTCAATAGGAAATTCAAATCGCAATGTGTGTAGGAAAATAGGTCAAATTTAAAAAAAAATAGCGGAATATATCTATTTACTCTTCGAGTTATGCTTTAATTTATTAAAAACCATGACAAGTATTATAATACGCAAAGATGTCTCTTCGCAGTATAATATAATATTTACGCGCGAGAATTAGCGCGGTTGACCTTTCTGTTTCGCATTTTTTTTTCAAATTTCTCATCAGGTCTGTCTCATGAAAGTCGATCTCGTTCGTTCAAACTTTACGTAGTTCATTCACATGACAATACACTCAGCCATTATTACGAAGAAACACGTAATCAGTTGTTGCATGCCAAACAAATAGATATCCATAGAGTCTTTCTCAAATATTTTCTACATAAACAAATTTGATGTTAATATGCTTGCTTAATATATTCTGTTTGAAAAAAATATAAAACGGAAAGGTCGACCGTGCCAGGTTTCGCGAATATAATTATATTATACTTTGGAATTGCAGAGAAATCTTTGCGTATTGTCATACTTCTCCACGGTTTCTATATATTAAATTAAAGCAATATAAGAACGGAAAAGAGACATTTCATCGCCTCCTCTTAAATCTGTCCTGTTTTCTTACATTTGCGATTTGAATAATTACTTCCAAGTTTAATAATACGTATGTTTACAATAATTGACATACATACAAAGTAGTATTGTAAAATATATTTCGAACATAATAATTTATCGATCTATATGGCATATTTCACTTTTTGAGAGATTCTGAGTGTGTACAATCACAATATGTACACTGAAAAAAAGATTGGCTGCTGCAGCAAATTAGATGGTAAAATATGACATAGCATTTTTAATTGGCTGCAGCAGCC